AACCACTTAACTGCTAAAATTCAATTTGTTGCTCCCTTTCCAACGTCAACCAAGCTAAAGAGCTGGTGGTACGCATTTTTAGCTAAGGAGCTACCAGGAGTTCGTCGTGGATCCCTAAAAGGGGGTGCATGCTTTTTGGGAATGCGGATTGGGTGGGAAAGCCCTGGGTGACCTACTAGTCAGGGAAATGGAGTCACTGCCAACTGCCAGTTGGCAGGAAGTTGGCACAATTCCCTCATGAGGATGGGATGGGATGGGATGGGATGGATGGATTGGATTGGTTCCAAATGGATCCATCAACTTTGTACTGTCAGAGGAAAATGCTTGAGCAAACCTTGGCACCCCCTTCTTGGTTGATAGCAGGACCAACGCCAACTAGCTGAAGGCACCGAGTTCTCACACAAACCGGCCACGAGCCCCAACTTTCCAGGACTTGTTCCCCTTCTGAATACTTGGATCCGGGTATGCCACTCAGACCGGGCTATTGTGAGACTCTGGGTACTTTCTTGGGCATTTGCATGGGGTGGGGCGCTATCAAAACACATGACAACAGCAACAATCATGTGTGTATTTCTTAGAGCCTCATTTTATGCCTTGGTTGGGGGGTTGTCAAATCATATGTGAATTCTTAGAGCCTCATTTTATGCCTTGGTTGGGTTGTCAAATGTAGGGGTCTCTTTTGGTATCCGTTTGCAAAGGCAGGGCGGGCATCATGGTCCAGGTGACCTTGGTTGGTCCCAAAAGCGCGCCACAGCCGTTGTTTTTCCCTTACATTCCTCAAACCAGGGGTAGATGAAGGTTAGTAAGGACCCTGGGTACACGAACCTTAGTAATGCATACTCCGTAGATGAAGGTTACTAAGGGACAATCCCAAAACGGTGTGGCCGCCTTCTGACTTCTTTTCCCATGGGTAGTTGATTTGAAAAAATTGCTACAGGACAATATTGGTATGGAACCAAATCATTCGATCTTAAATGAATTGATGAAATAAACAACTAGTGATGATTATTTAATTGAGAGAAGTACAGATTATGATAGTTGACTCCAAAAGGCCAGCACCGGTTTTCAAGGGCTTTTGACTTAAAAGCCGAGGTGATGGTCTCGTGAGACTCTCACGACTGGGCGAGGGGTTTATCGGGACTCACCGGCAGCTCTGGGGTTGTGGGCTGTTTCATCCCGGGCCTGCGGCATGCGTGCGAGCGATGCGTCAAAAGCCATGCGCCATGCGTCGAGACAACCCCAAATGGGTGGCTTCCCCTTGCCGGATCGATGCGGTTCCTTGGTTCCAGTAAAGAAAACGGTAAGGACCCAAGTTGGAGGATGAAACCCCGTTATATGCAGCCCTTCACTTCAATGGTGGTTTGAATCCCTGTGCTTGGCTTCCCTGTAAACCAAACCGAAGGGTCTCAACACAAGTCACAGATGTGCATTTCTCTGGCATCCTGCCTATCTCTGTGATTCGGGGGCTGCAGAGTCCCGCCCGTCATGTTCGCAGATGGGTTTTTGTAATTGAACTTCTTGTATCCAAGCCCCATCCCGTGATTCTTGAGGAGCCCAAAGGGCGCGAACTAAATGACGAACTGCCCTTTTCCCGCGGAAGTCTATGAGGTGCCCCCTTGTGGATGGTTGTAAACGCAAACATGATTTGGATGCCCACTATTTGGTCTTCAAGTCGGGAACCTCAAACAGTGGCTTCCCTTTCAACCAGAAACAGCCCAAAAAGGGGTATTCAGAACTGAAGGGCTTTGCCGCGGGCCCGTTTGTTCGCGTATGCAATGGGCAATCTGTTGCATTTCTGCGCGGGCGCGAGGGGCGCGAGGGGCGCGAGGGGCACGTTTTCCGACGTGAAGCAGTCGCTGGATGACTGGGCCGAACGCTCTCGCAAGTGCACAGGGGACCGGAAAAAGGGAGTGTCCGTGAGCAGGTAGCCCATGGCTTGCGGCAGAAGAGTGAAACGCGGGCATTTGATCAGCTCAGATTCGAAGAGGCGGACATCAGAGGCCATAAATTTACCTCCGCCAACCCAAAAAATACTGGTAGTGCCAAAGGGCCACTAGGAGTCTGGTGCCAAAGGGCCATCTAGGAGTCTGACCTTTCGCCGGACTCGCCGGGGCCAATGCGCAGGTTGATGTCAACAACCCGGAGACCTATGCCAAGTTGCGGCAGATCAATCGCGATGACGGGGGCCATGACTCCGCCCTCTTTCTAAAATGGCTATGGAGTTTAAGCCTCCATTTGCTTAGGAACTTAAGCAACCAGAAGAAATAGTTGCAGCTGGGGTCATTATGTTTACTGCTTCTGGGAGCAAATGGGGTCCTTTCCCGACTTTGATAAGGGCAAAATAAGCGGGGCTGTTGCCGTGGCACCTGAGCGGGGTTCCATGGGTGGTCCAAGGCTCTCCCGTCAGCTTTCATGACTGAAAGGGTCAGTGGACTTCGGGACTTGAGTTTTCAGCGAATGGGATGCCCACCGAAACGTGAAACGTCTTCTTTTAGGGGAGTGTGGCAAATATCCTTGAACCCAAGGAGAAACGTTTGGGCTTTGCTACCACCAGGAAGGTTCTCAGAACCCTTTTAAGAATCCCTTCAACGAAGGTTCTAGCCCTTCTCTCTGTGTGTGTAGAAGCACCCTGTGCACCGCCATAGACTTATGTTTGTTGTTGGGACACCTTTTACATCTTTTTGCTTCTTGTGGTTGAGTGGAAATCCAAACCCACATCATTGCTTAAATATATATATATATATATATCGGATTTTTTGCGGCCCTTCCAACCTTTAACCGAGGACCAAGGCGAGGGAAGTCACAAGTTGACCTGGGAACTAGGCTCCCCAGCGATTGGTGCCCTTCTCTACCAACTTTTTTGGTTGGGAGATTCGGTTCCCCTACTAAAATAGACTACAGAAAAAAAAGTTGGTACCCTTATTCTAACCTCTCTACTCGAGGACCTAGCATGGGAAGTTGGTTCGATCCGACTCGCTGGCCGAGCTGGCAACCATGGGAAGTTGATTGACCTGGTTGAGCCTTGGCCCCGAATGACACAAAGATGCACTTTTTTTTGTTCACTAACATGGCTTCCCTTGCTAAGCGCATCTCAAACAGTATTGATGCGAGGCAGGGATAGGGGCGAAAACGGATAGAAAGACCTATTGCCTTCATGGAGACTTTGAGGGGGTGATTTGCACCAAGGGTCCACCAGATTGACGTGGGACCTTGTAAACACTTGGGCCTAATTCCAAAGATATAGGTGTCATGTTGTTTTTGTTTTGTTTGTTTTTTCTTTGCGTGAAAACACGCAAACTAAAGCAACTACGCCAAGCTTGTCCCCGGGATTCGCATACAAGCTGTGTCTAGGGGTCTTTCAGGGCTCGGGTTATTTCAACCTGCCGGATCCTTTGGGTTGGTGCTTGGTATCCCAATAGACACGACCGATGGATGTGCATGGAACCTATGTCTGGATTTGGGTCATCAGCGGACGAGTCTCTTGATGCCCCTGTTGGCCCTTAACCGCATGTTTATTTTGTTTTTAACCAGTTGCGACCAGCCAGCGAGTCACCCAAGGCTTCCAAACAAAACCCGAAATGACTTGCTGGTGCGATAGGCAGGGAATGAAAAATGGAATGACCTCAAGAGAAACCATCCCCGATTTGGTTTCCTCTAAGGGAATCCCCGAGACCGGTTCATTTCTCATCCCCGACCTATCGCACCAGCAAGACGAATCGGTTTGGGCGTCGATTTTTCTCTCTGATTGCGGAGCCCTGGAGGAGCCCGTGAAAAGATTGCGGAAAGAGCTTTTCCGCACCCAGCAGTGGGTGAAGGACGGCGGAAATGCGTATGTGTGTGTGAGTTTGTATTTGGTTTTGTAAGGGCACCTTGTTTTGGGGGGGCTGAATGGGAAGCCCCCCAAAACCCGGGCTGGTATCGTTTCCGAGGAGTCAAGAGGGGTTGAGGCTCGAGGGTATTTTCATTATTCGGGCATTTTTGCAGCAACCAGCAGAAGGATACAGCGCAAAAGCTCGAGCGAGGCGGCGACGTGGAAAAGGATTCCCTTCCTTTCAGATTTCGGATCGGTCTTGCTGATTTGTGCGGATATTGAGCTCACCGCCTGGTTGCCTGGCAGTATTTCCAAACGGGCCTGTCTCATGGGTAACCCCCTGTGTTGAATGGGTTTAGACGAAACCCACAAAACACCCCCACATGAATAAGCAGAGATTGATTAATTAATATGGGGTCAACGTTGGGATTTCAACAGCAAAGCGATGACCCACAATCCCTAGAGACTCTGACAGATCCCGCCCTCCAACGACTGCTTTCCGTTGGGCTTTCGAGATTGGGTCAAACTGGCGGCGGCTTCAATTTAATCTTCCTTGAGATATATCCAACACGGGGGGTCTCCTAAACACGGGAGACAGCAGGTTTGGTTCCAGCCTATTTCGGTATACACCAACAGCCAAAAGAGAGGTGAGGCAAACTTGCTGGTGCGATAGGCAGGGAATGAGAAATGGAATGACCCGACCATTCCTTGAGGCTTCCTTCACGGGCATGGACCGGCCTAGGTTCATTCCGCCACATTCCCTGAGCACCGGCAGGAAAAACCGGGTAGGGTGGCCTGTTTCGGTGTTTCTGTGGTGAGGAGTGCTTTTCGGGATGGTTTGGGTGTTTTGGGGGGTCTGCTGGGTGGTGTGGGTTCCCGGTGTTCCCAAGAAAACCGGGTTCCCAAGCACAGGGGATGGTCCAACTCCCCCGCGATGTTTTGCGATCGCAGTACACCAGCGGCGACTTCTCGGTGGCAGACACCGAGTACGACCGAGTCAGGCGAGCTCTGGACGAGGAGAGCCGATCCGGACGTGTTGCTTTCCTTAAGACCCTGTGCATTGCCACCTAGTGCTTCCACTATAGTAGGCTTCCCCTGGTTACCTAGTATGGTGGTAACTGGAAGCACTTGGCCAGACAGATGTCCGAGTTCGTTCTTTCTGAAAGTCAACGCCCCAGCAGTGGTTTCTTCATTCCAACTGGCGAGCCACTTGGGACGGAGCCTGGATGAGGTTTGTGTGGAAGGGACCATCTCCCGCAAATCCTTGGGCACCTTGCCCGCAAGGGTACCTCTTCCTGGCTTGGGGGCCTCTGGTTCTCTTTCCCTATGCCACTTGACCGCATGACGCTCCAGGAAGACTCTCAGTGCTTGCTGATGTCCAGGTCGGCATCCCCAGATTCAACGCTGACGGGGCAAGGATGCCCCAAAACAGGCAGAGAAGCTTAGGTGGTATCCTCTGTGGATCCATTTCCGTATGGGTAGCCGAGGGGGAACCACGCTTCAAAGAGTAAAAGGGAAGTGAATCGAAGGGTCTCCCTTTTTGGGGGGCTCTTGGTGAATTTGCTGGGCCCAACCCCCTTCGCCCCGCTCTGGGACCCTATGGCTTTCAGCTGGAGCAAAAGCAGTGGGGGAGTTACGTCCAAAAGGTTAGAGTTCGAGGCAAAGAGCCAAGTTCAGCAGAAAAAACAGTAGCCTGCAAGGGACCTCAAGCCATCCACTGAAAAAGCCAAGTTATTTTATTCCTTTTCAGAACCAGCATGGAACATGTTGACTGTGCCCACCCCTCCATGTACGAGTCAAGGTGAACAAATACTCCTTGAATGTATCGATCGCATGAATTGAAATGATTTGTTTGGGGGGCATGGCTCAGACACAATTCATTGCTGGAAAGTCTTCGGGTCACCTTTCAACCCCAATGCTTCCAATTACCTCTATTGCAGGAAACAGAGGAAACCATCATGAAACACCTCAAGGTAAGGATCCCTCGTTTTCCTACTGTAGTGCTAGCTGGAAGCACTGGGAACCACTAAATCGCTGGCAGAGGGTGGGGAGCGTGCGCGATGTTGGTGCTTGCCGGCGCCCAGCAAGTTGCTGGAGACATGGTAAGCTTGATCTGACAGGATAAACATATAGGACTCCAAGCAAACACGACTCATTTTTGGGCGCTGTTTTGTCTGAGATTCACCCTCCAACGACAAGACACGACTGCCGGCGTTTACCGCCATCAGGCCATCGGAACGGCGGTTGTGCTTATGGCCGTATATTTACGAAGCCCCAGAATCCAGTGGCTTCGAAATGGCAGGCCCAATGACGGATCCTTTCTGCGGGATGGATTTCTTCTTTCAAAGTTCGGTGCTTCCCTGAAAGGGCGTGAAACGGCCACCGGGAGGGCTTGCAACCTGGGGAAGCCATCCATGGTAAAACCTGGTAGTTCCGGGTCCCTGGTTTTCAAGCCTTCAGTGAGGAGCGCCTGGGTGGTTTTCATTGACCCGTACAACGGGTTTCGGATGGGTATGCGAGCGCACAGGCTCAATCGCCTGGCCCGTTAGCCACGGAATAGCATGAATGACTATAACTTGGGCAGTTTGTTTTGGCTTTAAAGGGTGGTGCCTTGGTTACCCAGTATACAGGGAAATGGAATCACTGGTATGGAGACTGGATCCAAATGGATCAAGGAAAGTCGGATCGATGTCGAGGTTGTTCCTTTTTGGTTTTGTAAAGGCTGGGTTGCTTGGCTATACAACCTTTAAGAACAAAAAGCAAGGGAACCACCGAACCCTTAAAAGAAAACAAAAGCAAGGGCACCAACCCAGTGGTTCTCCAAGTGGAACTGGGAGAAGTTTGGACCACTCAATCGGACCGAGGTTCGAGGACAAAGTGCCTACGGCCTCGGTGCGTTCCGCCAGACGCAGCATCCAGGCGATTCTCGACTCCATAGGCGGCCAACCGGAAAAGCAGAAGCGGCACCTGGTCCACGTCCCCGGATTGGGGGGGCGCGTCTTTGTTTGTTCATTTGTTTTTCAGTTCTTCTTCCTCACTCCCTGAGTTCATGGACTTTAAAACGGTTGGGAAGACCAGTTTTGTAGCAAACACAAAGTTGTTCTACTTGTTCTGGCCAGTCAACTCAGGAAGTGAGTAGAATTAGACCTCCTACAGCAAATGGTTAGGGAAAGATCCCCAATGGTCGGGTTCAGAACCGCTGAACATGTTGCCTTCAATGAAGTGAGCGTCTGTTTACCAAGCGCAAGCGCCAGATGACCTGCTGGCGCTGGTGCCACAGAAGGAGCAGGAGGCGGCCGCCAAGCATCATGCCAGTCGGCGAGTCGTCGGCTAGGGCGCCCTAAGAATGTGTTGGTTTCGTTGTTGCTTCCCTTTCAATGGGGGGTTGATCAATCTTCCCTTCGGCCAAACCACGGGCCACTTTTCCGGTTTAGTGGTTGAACTATCCCTGGGGTTCGGGGGCCTCAAAAAAGAAAGGCCTTCAGGCGGCCGTGAAATGTGGGGAACGTCCTTTGTTTGCAAGCTGGACGCTTCTAATTGGGCTGACCGTTTTGAGTTGGCCGCAGTAGCCACATGGCTTTGCAGTGCTTGTGGCTGAAACGTACGCTTTCCAAAGCCTCGCGAAAACCATGTAGACATGTTGAAGCTGTTCAATGCTCAAGGTCTTCAACTTTGTGGGATTTCTAGAGACATTGATTATGGGCTTAGCAATGGGAAATCGACAAGGGAAAAGCGTCAAAATACCGTGAAATTGGCGTGAACACCTTTTTTTTGCAGTGAAATACCGTGAAACACCGTGAAATTTGGCAGGCGAAAAGCCACTCACATTCGTCCTGGCTGGCGTTGTTTGCTGCTGGGTTTGAAAAGGTCCTGCTGAATGGATGTTTCGGGAAGACCATGATTGTTCGATTGATGATGCAGAAAGGTGCTGCTTTAACGTTGAGGCCTTCGCAAGTCTAGCTTGGTGTGGAAAAGGCTTGTTGACGATGTAAAGTTGGAATTCCACCCAGACCCCGATCCCCCAGCTAGCCAAACAAAGGATGTGCATGTAACGGCCTTTGTTTTAAAGGCCTTTTACCCCCCAGGGATATCATCCTTTTAGTGGTTTTCCCTATGGTCATCCCATGTAAAGGACGTTTTGATCAAGCCCCAAATGCCAACCAAAAGGGGGTCCAGCCTTTTGAGAACCCTTGGAGTACCTTTTGGACACATGTCCCCTCGTGCCCCCTTGCAACAAGCAAAACGGGACAAAGAAGACTTCGTCCTTTTTCTGGCACATATCTTGGCGCTAGCGTAGGTTTTACCTTGGAACGCCATGCTTGTCCTGAGGAATGGGTGCTGTTCCTGAATGGTTTAGCAAAGGTGGAGAAAGGACCGGAGCTATGGCAAGGACACTGGCATTTCGAGGGCGGCTCGAAACTGCGCAAACTTTCCGCACATTTGCTGGTTTCCTCTTGGCCTCTGTGAATCTGTTTACCTAATCAAGGGAACCCCCCTGAAACCTTGCCTCCTCCAGGGGGCGAAACGCCTGGGATCCAGCAGAGCTTTCGGTCTCAAAAGGGCAGCTTCAGCGGAGGCGACAGCAGTGGGTCCCTTTTAGGCCGCAGGCCGTATTTTTGCCCAACCCAAGCAGAGGCAGCACGGGTCCGTATTTTTCGCCCAACCCAAAAAGGAGCACGGGTGTCCCGCTGGTCTCTGCGCGTGAAGAGCCAAAATCCGCAGGCGGCTCGAGCCGTGGCAGAGACCCGGAAGGTGCCCGGCGCCAAGTCTGGCCGGCCCGTTGATGGAGCGGGGTCGGTTTTTTGTGGTTGAGGAAAAATCCCACGGGGGGGACCCACCCACTGGGGCAGGTGTTTTTTGTTTTTTTGTTTTTGTTTTGAGACATACCCGGAGAAATATCCCAGCCCTTCAGTGGATTCATGGTTCTTCCTTTGTTTGGAAGGGTCTTCCATTAAGATCCAGATGTGCCTCTTTGTCACATGCGAAAAAAAGGCGATCTGTTTTGCCTTTCTGCAAGCGCGTTTTGATTGGCTTCCGTATTGCTATTGGGGGAGGTAGATAGATTTCTTCGAGCGCAAACCCCCTGTAAACCATGTGGCAAATATATGACTTCTGTCAAAAGTGTAGAATTCCTGTTCACCTTGCCAGTACTTTCCATTGCTAATTCCTGATTTGCCATGGCTGGAGGGGGCGGTGGCTGTTCTCTTCAAAGTGTCACTTGTCCCAATCGCTCTCGCCCAAAGTGGGTCATGGTTAACACACGCCCCGTGCGCTGCTTATGTCCGCGGCCGTTGAGTGTCAAAGGTTGTCGTGCGAGCAAGACAGACTCAGAATGGGGCGAGTGCGAGCCCGCAAAGCCTGGCTGGGCGCTGCGTTGGCGTTGCTGCTGCTGCGTCTCAGCCGGGTTCGCCGCCTTTTGCTGCCCCAACTAAGTTTGGGGGGGTCGTCCTACCACCAAGTTGTGGAGTTTAACGTCTCCAAAAAGGAGCCATAGAGAGGGAGACCCATTTTTGGACACCCTTGGTTGGTTTCCGAAATCAAGAAATGGAAGTAGACAACAACGACCGACCGCAAACATGGCATTCTTCGGCTTCTGCAGGTTCTAGGTCTTCATCTTTTCACTGAACCCTACCCAGCCCATACACCAACCTCCACAAGCCCTAGACCCAGCCTACGCGCACCCGAAGCCCCTGGACTAGTTGGATACATCCTAAGCTCTCGCAAGCCAACCTTACACCCTCCACCAAAAAGTCTGCACCGTTCTCGGGTCACTCTGAACACCCCCTCTCCCCGCAAAAAACCCGCCCTTCAGAAAACGAGACCACCCCAAAGCGTCCCAGCCTGAACCAAGACTAAACCCTACACCAGTAAACCACACTAAACCAACCTGACCCTTTCCCGCCCCTCACCTGCCCCGAAACACACCCTAATCCCACCCCGAACGTTGCCTACTCCGAATCTAAGGACCTCTTTTAGGGGTTCCGTGTCAACCCGCAGTGTAGCTATGGACCCTTTCTGCGTGCAGTTGTTTTGCTTTGCGGGTTTAACCTAGGTTCACGGAATCTGGACCAAGCATATTTGTATTGGGAAAGGCTGTAGCACAGCTTTTGGGGTAACTGAGTGTCTTTCCATGAACTGACAGCTAGACAAGCTGACCGATGGGTGGCTCTCAACAACAAATCCTCATAGCCAAAAGGTTTGCCTTACTTGCCCTTTTGACCTTTTGGTTTTCCCATTCTGGTCCATTTTAGTAAAGGTCTCAAGAGGTTAACCTTTTGTTTCCAGGTCCTTTTGGCAAGTGAGTTGCAACTTGGGTTTCCGTTTCGCCGCACCAACTCGGCCTTTCTGTAAGTCTTTTGCACTCGGAAGGCCCAGCCAAAATGCGCAAATGTCCCTTGGGGTTCCCTTCATACTTCCATTTGCTTAAGAATATGTGTTATTTACCCCAGTTGGTTTCAAGGGAATCTATCGTTCCAGGAGGCTTGAGCAAATGGAGGCACATGGGGTCTAAATACTGAAGATAGGGTTGTGGACTTGACAAATCCGTTTAGACATGTCACCATGTCCTTTTGATTTCCCTTGATCGGCGAAACGGGTCTCCCCCTCCCCCGAAAGAAAAAGACACAGCCCAAGTGGTATCACCAACAGCCCCTCGAACCCTCCAAAACCCTCCACAACCCTGCATGAAAGCTGCCTCAACCGCCCCTTATCGCCTAGAATGGGTCTCTCCTGTTGGAGTGTGGTTTTAAAGGGACACCCCATATTTGTGGAATCACACAAAACGGACCGCAAAATATCTGGAACCCCCCCACCCCACCCCACCCCACACCCCACCCCACCCCACCCCCACCCCACCCCACCCCACCCCACCCACCCCACCCCCCCCCACCCCACCGCACCCAGAATGGTCCAAGGAGCGCCTCCCTGCCGCATGCCCCCGACTCGCTGGCGCTGACTTTCAGCCGCGACGCGGCCAGCGGCACGCTGAGCCGCGCTGGGGGCCTGAGGATCTCGGTTTTTCTCCAGAAGTGGGGTGTTTTTTTTGGTTTCTGCTTCTTCTTTTTGTTGGTTTCCGTGTATTTGGGAGGGATTTTTTTTTACAGGAACCCTAAAGAATGGCGAGTTGTTGCAATGTTGTTTATTTATTGTTATTTTTTGTTTCGTGCATTTGGGAGGTTGTTATCCTATTTTTAAGGGGAGCCTTCGAAGAATGGCGAGTGTTCGCAATTTCGGTGAATTTTGGTGGTTTTCCAATTGTGGTCAATGTTTAGTCAAGGTCCCGAAAGGTTGATCGTTTATTTCTGAGTTGCTACGGGGCAGCTGAGTTTCATGCACTTGGTGTCTCCAAACATGTTTTTTTTTTTTGTTAGGCCGATTCCCCCCATCCCAATCGGTTTGGATCCATATTAAGTTTTCAAGCCCTTGTTGAGGATAAATTGGGAAGCCTTCCAACCTACAAACCGATCCACACTCAAGAAGGAGGCTGATGTAGGATAGACTAAATATGGAACAGAGTCAGACATATTTGATTTTCTGTGAACCTCAGATGTGGGCCAAGACAGCTAGACTTTGCCGAAACCTCTCTAACTTGTTCCGTTGTTTTTCCAAGACGAGGCAAAAAGCCACGCTGCTCGAGTGGTTTCTAAATGTTCCAGGTGATTTTTAGGTGTATCCTTTAAGGGACCCAATTATTCCTTTCAACTATGTACACTTTGTTGAACGATGCTAGAAGCACACATACGTGTTTTTCAACCTTTATCCCTTCTCCTATTACCTACCGGGCCTTGGAGGTTTGTCTGATTTCCTCTTGCTGCGGTCATTATTCGCTGTCATTATTTGGGCGGCTGTTTTGGGGCATCAATGCTAGAAGCTAGGGGTGTTTGTTCTGTATCCTATCACTTTCAGGGTGACTTTAGCGGTAAAATCCTCCGGTTCCCTAGTTGCTGTCGTTTAGTGGCCGGGTTGCCATTTACGCCGCCAGTTTTACTCACTGTTAGCAGGGGATCAGATCGAGGACAGCGCAGAGGCGGCCACTGAACAATGTGGCGCCACTGAAAATCATGGGTTTCCCTCAAAAAAAGCACACACCAAAACACAGTTACTCACCACTCACCCATGTGTTTCTCCCCTGCTCAAGTAACTTTTGGTGGTTTGTCCCCTGATGTATCCCATGCTAACCGTTTGGTTTGGATTCTTTGGGATTACCGAAGGATCCCTCTTATCACTTTTAGGGTGACTAAAGGTGGTAAAATCGGAGCCATCGGAGTCGGAGCCAGGATCTTGCTGGGCTCCGCGGCCATCGGCGCCATCGCCGGGGGCCTGCGCCTCGACAGAACCGACCCGAACCGGTTGGCGGGTCGAAGCAGCCGAGGGTTCAAGCAGCCGTCCGGTGCCAGAAAGGTGTGTTTACTTAGGGGTGGTTGGGTTCCTCGGTTTTTGAGTTGTTTTTAGTTGGTTCCTTAGGTGTTAAGTTGCTTTGAGCTGGTTCCCTAGGTTTTTAGTGGTTTTAGAGTTCCTGAGGTTTTGAGTGGTTTTTACAGTGCCTTAGGTTTTTGAGTGTCCTTAGAGTTTCTTAGGTTTTTGAGTGGCTTTAGAGATCCTTAGGTTTTTAGTGGTGTTAGAGTTCCTTAGGTTTTGAGTGGTTTTTAGGGTTCCTTAGGTTTGTAGTTGTTTTTGTTGTTTTTGGTTGTTTTAGTGGCAGTGGAAACCACTAAACCACTAAAAGCGTTTGACTTTCAAGCAGGTCGAAGAGTAGAAGTCCAACATTGCCCCCGAAGGTAGGGTACGTAGCCTTTGTTTGTGGTTGGTTTAATGGGAAGCCAAAAAGACAGCCACCAAAATTGGTGTTTTGGTACCCCCTGTTTTGTTTTGACACATACCCAAATATTGCAAGTGAACCAAGCACACAACCGCAGGGTACAATATCCCGGTAAATAAGAGTCAATCACCGAGGATTGTTTTTCTTCTTCGCCCACCTGCAATACTTAGGGCATGGTCCCGCCCAACCTGAAGCCAGACTAAAATCCTGGTTGGGAGCATGTTCCTGACCCTCTGGAGCCGGCCGTTTTTCTTTGGTTTCTGTTCAAAAAGCCCTGGAATGATGTCACTCAGCCACCGAGCAGTCACAAACACCGCCTTTAGAAAACCCAAAATTCTCAAGTCCGTCCCACAAATCGCCCAGCTGCAGAGAATGAAAACAGCCAAATGGCGAGATTGCCCCATCTACGGTGCGACCTTTTGTTCACAGATATGCACAGAAAAGAAAACGAGGGCCCGAGTAAGGCTCAAGATGTTTCATTTGGCTGAAGTTTCAGGTGACCCTTAATGTTGCTGGTTCTCAGCAGGGAACTTTGGAATGACCCCTGCAAAGCATCCCCTATGTCACCTGCCATTTCAATTCTTAATGTTTTAAAAGCGTGGAAACTGATGGTACTGGTTTAGATTGGTTTTATTCCATTTACCAGGGCCATCGATGTTGTGAAGGTCAATGTTCCGAAGGATCGCACACAGGGTTTCCGAGAACCTCCAACAGTGGATCCATCGCAAGGGCAACCACAGGAGTAGCTTGAGCTTTGATCAACCTTTGATTTGTGGGAAATCCGATTTGCCCCGGTCAAACGTGGTTGGCGGGCTAGCTGAAACTGAAGGGAGGCTGCCAGCAAAGTGAAGAAACTAAAACTTTGATGGTCAGGACCTTTGGCGAGCTTTGGTTTGGTCCACGAGACAAGCTTCTTGCTTCCTTTTTGGCCAATCCTAGGTCCCCCAGTAGTGCCCTTTTACCCTTTTTAGGGGCAGGGTTCCCCCTACTAAAATAGACTACCGAGAAAACGAAAAGAACAAACGAATCGGGTACCCTGATTCTAGCCCTTCTGTAGGACCTAGTCTTGCTTCATGTTTTAACAAATTTCTGGGGTGTTTGAGCAGAGTTTCCGTTGGCAGTTGACCGCCCAGGACTTTGACGAACCTCCCGGTGGTGAGCACCTTCAGCGTGCCGATCGGCGCCGCGGCGGGCGTGTGGTGCGCACAGCTCCCGGATGATGGCACCATGCTGGGGAAGGCGGCGATGGAAACGTCGAAACATCTTGGAGCAAAACCCCCCAGGAATGGTGATACTAACTTTTTTATTTTAAGGGTTGAAAACCCCCATGAAAATAATGAGTTGACCCAAGTTGGATGATGAAACCCCTTCGGTGCACAATGGTTAAGTTATATTAAAGTAGCTTTATAATTTCAGCAAAAAATTAAAAACAATCACCGTTTTAAATATATTTTCATGTATAAAGGAAAAAGAAGGCAAACAAACAAACAACATAAGGTCAACAAAGCCCAACATACTGCCCTCTTTGCATCCGCAGGATCCGGAAAAGAAGAAATCAAATAAAACCGCCTGGGAGGCCGGGGACATCTGCAGGTCCTTAGGCCATGCCGCCACCATCTTCTTCAAGGAGTTTCAGCGTCTCAGCGAGCGATGGCTGGGGCTGGCGAGGGAGGGGAGGGGGGGGGAGCCCAAGTAAGCCCTAACGCCTTATTTGGGGCTCTTGGGAGCCTTTTCTCGGCCCCCAGCCATGCGGTTCCTGAGCTGTTGAGCTTTTTAGATCCTTTTAGCGTTGAGTGGTTGGTTTTTTCTATTTGACCCACAAGGTAAACTTTGAGCGGAGAGGACAGCCCAGAATTCTCGGCGCCGCGAGCAACATATCTCTTTATCCCAGGTGGATGGGGCCCCGACACCCATGTTGGAGCGTCCTATCTCCAGAATTGGGCTTGGTATGCGTGGCATGGGCTTGGCCTTCAGCAAATTCAGATCCACTTGGCTCATTTGGGCGGCTAAAGGCAAATTCGGCTTGTCGGCGATTTATTTCTATTTTCTAAGGTGGAGCCTAACATGGTGGGTGCTCCTTTTGGATTCCCTCTATCGCCAGAACCCCTCCCCCCCCCTTGATTTGGTTTGACATTTAGCTTGTTGGACACTCGTGCGTGTTTCCCCATAGCCGCAGAGTTGTTTGGGGTGTCTAGTGCCTTTGGTTTGTTAGTCGCTCCAATTGTTCCCCGAGCCAGCCGAGCCCTATTTTGTCAAATTCCTTTTTTTGCTACATGGCGGAAGTTGCTAGTTTTTCTATTCCCCACCCAACATGAACGGAACGCGAGGTCCCTTCTAACAACTAAGGAGTGATTACAGGAAGCAGAAGTAGCTACGTGGCGCTGCGGGTGGGTTTTGGCTCTCCAGTGGATGCTGTCAGCTGAGTTGGCAAAGCCGAACTCGCAGATGCATAACTTTCCCCTTTGACGTCCCCCAATTGCTTTCGATCATAGAGGTTGGGTCAAATTCCCCTCTGTCCATTGGGCGATGTTTACAGGGGACATGGTACAGTGCTCAGAATTCGCGCCAATGGTGCGAATTCTGCACGGCGCGTTGCTTTCGCGAGGCTGCGTCTGGTGTGGTGAATGGATTGCAAAACAAGCGATCTAATTTCGAAGGTGGGGCCTTGTACCTTGCAAGCCACAGCCACAACCTATTCACATCTTCAGATGTGAGAAGCAGCTTAGGCTCGTCCAGGCTCCATATTAGCACAGCTTGCCAGGTTGCCGTACAAGGTCAAGAAGCCTCCAAATGCAACCAACGCGACAGTGGCACCCAGTCTTTGCCTCAGCATGCGCAAGTCGCGAACTCAGTAACGGCCTCGAGCCCCAGAGCGCCGGGGGCTCGTAGAGTTTGGTGAAATATCGCACTTCGTGCAGATGGGGTATGAATTCTCAAGAGCGTTCACGACCCAGACGTACTCTTTGAAAGGAACCTGATATGGGTGTTTCTTTTTGTTTGCTTTATTTCGGGAACCTCCCTCGTTGGCTGGTTTCCAAAAGGAAGCCAAAAGGGAAACCGAAGCGAATTTGGAGGGTCCCTCTGTTCAGACACACCCAGATTCCTTGCTCTGTGAATGGCGCGTTTGGAGCAACGACGACGGGGCGCCACCACCACCAGCACCTGCACCTGCACCATCACCACCACCACCACCACCAGCAGCAGCACCACCACCAGCACCACCACCACCAGCAGCAGCAGCACCACCACCACCAGCACCAGCACCACCACCACCACCACCACCAGCACCAGCACCAGCACCTGCACCAGCACCATCACCACCACCACCACCACCACCACTACCACCAGCAGCAGCAGCACCACCACCACCAGCACCACCACCACCAGCAGCAGCAGCAGCACCAGCACCACCAGCACCAGCACCAGCACCACCACCAGCAGCAGCAGCAGCAGCAAGGCAAAAGAAGCAACAACTCACCGCCATCGACTCAACAGGTGTGGAGGTAAATGCCCGGTTTGGGGTTGAAGCAGCTTGAGCCACACCTCTTGTGGCGAGGTCCAGAGCCATCGCCAAGCAACACATCAAGTCCAAGCGGCGGAGCAGGTGCCGATCTTGGCCCCAAGCCGAATGAGTCGGATTTAATCAGATTTAGGTGTGTGTTTTTTACTGAGGGTGCCCTTTTGGCCAGGTGTAAAGGAAAACCAAAGGGACACCAACTTTGATCCCCCTGAAAATTTCCCTACGGAATGGGAGGGGCTGACTTCCCCAGGAACATTTGGTTTTTTTCCTTTTTCCAAGCGAAAAGGGGTCTCCCCTCAGGGCTGGTGCACACATTTTGTAGTAAACACAATTTGTAGAGAGATAATTTTGGTCTACAATATAAGTTGCTGCAAAATCCATTCATTTTGTAGAGGTTGTCTGTGTCTTGTTTTCGTAGCGGGCCATGTTGCTTGGGTAGGTCATTTTGTAGACGTCAGGGCTGGCAACTTTGGCACTTTATAGTGCGTGGGCTTAGTTGAGGCTGTTTCCTATGGTGCCACCTCGCAACATCCCTTTTTTATCTTCCATTTGCTGAATAATATTGTTTATCATATGGCTGTGCGTTTTAAAAAAATGTACCCAAAATGGAACCCTGGTAAGTGGAAACATGGACCAACACCTGCGGTCCCCTGGTGCTTTAATTTTGACCCATACCCATATGCCCCTGGTTTTGAAGGGAATCTACCACTACTGGAAATATGTCATTTTAATTTAAAGGGCTTATGCAAATGGAGGTCATGTGGAATCAAAAGGCCATCGTTGGACTACAAAGCCCGTCACACAGAGTACAGAATGACGAGTTTGTGAATGTGTTGCGAATCATTGGGGTGCACGTGTCAGTTTGAGTCGGCAGACTACGCACTAGCAGTTCCTAGCAGTTTTTGGAGCGATGATGCTGGCACAAACGGACAAAAATGGATCAACGTGGGGCTGCTCCTCGTGGATTTGTTTGCTATGTTGTTTTTGGCCACTATTGGTAACTACCATGGGTGTCCAATCCATTCGGAACACTGGATTGAAAGCCAACTCGCCCCCTGCAAAATGACACTTCCGTCCATTTTGTAGTGACCACTTGGTAACCACGAAACCACCTGTGGAATTCAGCCACCAATTTTGTTGTTCATTTGTTCTGCAACCACCGTCATTTTGTAGAGTTTTTTTTCGCACACTCCCAGTTTTATACCACTCCCGCAATTTGTTCAAGGGGGATCCATTTTGGGGGTTCCCCAATTTTGAGACAAGCTCATCCTTCCTTTGGTCTGCCATGGGAGTTGCACTCAGGGTCTTCATTGGATGAGAAGTCCAGAAGGATTTGTCGCCCATCAGGCAGTCGATTGGTTGCGGGCACAACTCAACTCAGCAGGAGACGGCAGATTGTGATGCCGGACTCCGCTTTGCCTCGGCACCATTTGAAGAAAAGGGACCCCGAAGGGAACCGGTTGTGCATGTAGTACTAGCCTTTCCTGAACGAAGTGACTGTCCTCAACAATGTCAAGCCTCTTGTAGTTGTATTTTCTCCGGACAACGGACAAATTGAAGTGTCACTACTACAGTACTGCTCAACACGACTTGCAACTTCATGTTGGAAGCCGCAAGTAAAGCCTGTGAAAGTCGTAATGCTGAACCGCAATAGCCCCCCCCCCCCGCCCCAATGGGTCCTGGCTTTTCCTTTGGTTTTCCTTTAGAACCTCTGACGTTACCCTCGCAAATGCCGGCCGATAAGATCATTGCTTGGGAAGACACTGGCTGCAGTGCCGATGGCGTATGTCAATCTGGGATTTAAGTGCCTCCTACACAAAAATGGAGTCCGTGGTGGATTGCAATGTCGCATCAAACATGGTTGGCTTCTTCCCAATTCCCATAGGCTCGAAGCTTCTGAGGAGGAGCTTTGACTCCAATAAGAACACAAACACCATCGTCAAAATATGCCATGGCACGTTTTGGGGCCAGGTTTGGAAACACCCATGTTTCTCGTTGAGGCGTTCGCACAGGACCGGTTTTGTGTTTGAAATTTTCCTCACTCCCGAAAGACAGAGTTTCTTATATGGGTGTGTCTTGTTTATTTGGTTTCAATCAAACACCACAAGGACAACCGTTGTGCCATTTCGGGGCTCCGATTCCCACAAAAAGACGAGAGACCCAAATCTTGTTTTGGCTCCGACTCCTTCGGATATCTTGGTCCACGAGTGCAGACCTTGGACTAGGTCCCCCAGTAGTGCCCTTCTCTACCGTTTCTTTTTTGGTTGGGAGGGTTCCCCTACTCAGATAGACTACAGAAAAAAAAAAGGAAACAACAAAAACAAACACAATCGGGTACCCTTGTTCTAACTCTCGACTAGAGGAGCTCCGACTCCGAGGTTTGAATCTGGGCAACGCGTCCTCGATACCTTTCGGCAGCATGGCTATGGACACCTTCTCCTGAGAGCGAAGGTCACGCGGCGCGGATTGGGAAACTGAGGTTTGGCTCAAGCCACAAAATCGGGGGGGTTCCCACCCAAAACGGAGGTTTGGATTTCCCTTGTTGTAAATTGCCGGGTAAATTCAGCGGGTGTTGTTTGGGGTCTGTTTTTTTGGAGTTGGTAGACTCGTTGGGGTTCAGTTCAGTTGCAGAACTCACGGGAAGCCGTTCAAACCCACTTAGACGACCGGCCCCAGACTGAAAACAAGCTCGGGCCCGTGATGAAGGCCCCTCAACTATTAAGATAGTTCTCGGTTTAAGATAGTTCTCGGTTTTGGACCGCATGGATATTCTTCAGTCGGTATTTTCGAAGCCCTGCCACCTCTAAGAGTGTGGGATATAGATCGGGCCGTTTTCCGGCGAGGCAAAAAGAAGCACCGCGGCACGTGAGAGAGTCACTCAGAAGTACAAAGAAAGGCTACCAGCGGTTTTGTCTGCGGACTTGTCACTGATTTTGACTGCTGGAAAGTTGAGAAAGTTAGGAGCCGCAATGCAAGAAGTCTTTTTGGTGGTTCCCAGCCATCCCTAGGTTTTTAGCTTTGCAGTTGGTTGAGTGGTTGGGTGTCCATTGAACCCGCAAGTTAAGCTTTTAGCAGCGGATCAGCAAACGGGTTGTCAACCGCTTGGGGCGAAACAGGGTCGCAAGTCGGAAACGATCGGGCCATCGCCGCCATCGGCCGCGGGTAGATCGGGGCAAACAAGAAGTCACAGGTGTCCTTTTGATTGGTCAGTTTGGCGAGGAACAGATGGGTGTCACTGGTTTAGACGGGTTTCATAAATCATTTACCAGGGACATATCTTTTTCCAAAAGGTCACCTATGCTCGAATTCGATTGTGACTGTAGCAGAATATCCAGTTTGGCCTTTGCGGCAGTCTCAAGAGCATCAGATAAACACGGATTTGCCAAAGCCGGTTTTCCTTGAGCCGAGGACCCCATTTTAACAACTCCAAGTCCCAACTATCCCTACAATGCAAAAGCTGGGAAACAAGATACCCAACACTTGCTGCGGCCTGCCTTCCGCTCAAACCATGAAACATCTGGTAAACGTATCCAAGAGTTTGGACAGTTCTCTTTCTTTGGAGTTTCCCCCTTTGGGTTGGTGGCAAAAAAAAAACCACCGCAGCAAAAAAAAAAGGGATCCTTTTGGTTCGCGGCGTCAGGCAGGAAAGCGCACTCACCAGAAAGCTGGGATCCGCTCAAAGGGACCGACCCAGTTCCAACTCGCCGCCTTTGGCCCGAAGCCCGGGGCCGACCTTTTTTTCTCGGCGCTGAGCTCCGATGGCACCCATGAGGACCGACTCGCACGGCGAGTCGATCGATTCGCGCGTAGCGCGTCGCGCGGCGAGTTGCGAAAAGAAAAAAAGCACGACG